TTTTGGAATATTTTGCTGAGTTCACACACCTGTAATATTTAAATGATGGAACTAAACAAAAAAGGGGATACAGATGAATGACCATTTTGTATCTGTGTATTCAAAGTGGTTAGGATAGATATACAGCTACAGTCTCATAATTCAATGAATAGAGGGATTTGTTCTAGTAGTGTTCATAAATAGGATATTATGTCTCCATCTTGTACAACAAATAATCACTAGGAAGACAGTATGCAATGTGTTAAATATTGAAGCTCTCCTACTAATTTGATTTGAAACTGTATCATTGCTATTTGTTTCTCAGTAAAATTATGGGGAAAAAAACCAACTAAGAGGGTGGTATTTTCCCTGGCAAGTGCAAGGGCTTGAGTTCAAGCCCCAGTTCTGCCAAAAAAAAAAAAAAAAAAAAGTAGATAACACAGCTAGAACAGGGAACAAAGTCTGGAGCCCAGCAATTTCAGAGATGACTTTTAAGTTCTGCACAGTCTTACAGATAACCCACTAAGACTACTGGACTATATTGGATTATTTTGTGGAATTCACACACCTACAATATATAAATGGCGATGGAATACTCATCTCTGACAAAACTAAATGAAAAAGGGGGATATAAATGAAGGACCATTTTGTATCTGCATATACAAAATAGTTAGGATAGATATACAGCTACTTTCTCTTAATTCAATGAGGAGAAAGATATATACTAATAGTGTTTGGACAGGATATCATGTCTGCATCTTGTACTATGAATAACTACTACGAAGACAACAATATGCAATGTATTAATTATTGTAACTGTCCTATCGTTTTGAAACTGCCTCATTACTATTTGTTTCTCAATAAAATTAACAAAAAAATAAAATACAATAAAGAATACTTCTAGTCAGTTAACTGTTAGAATTAAAGAATCACAGAATTAAAAATAAAAAAACTTCACCTTATCCTTTCCACTCCAAACCTAACTATTGTTTTCACTCTCATTAATTTTGAAATGATGAATCAGAACAAAAAGGAAATAAACTATACTTCTAATTTAACACCATTCTTTGCCAGAAATGGTGGTGCATGCCTGTAATCCCAGCACTTGTGAGGCTGAGGCAGGGGGATCGCTTTGAGTTCAAGATAAGCCTGGGCTACAAAGTGAGTTAAATACCACCTTAAAAAAGGAATAAATAGGGGCTGGGGAGATGGCTCAGTAGAATAAGCACTTGCCTGGCAAGCGTAAGGGCTGGAGTTCAATGCCCAGTTCCGCCAAAAAAAGAATAAATAAGAAATGCCAGCTTAAACAGCACAGTGAAACTCTGTCTCAAAAAGACCAAAAAAAAAAAAAAAAAAGACACCACATTGTATAACCCCATCCTCATAGTACATAGGCCCCTATGGATTACTGCACCAAAAGTAGGACATTGCTCTTTCTCATGCCACAATCTGCCATGCTCTTCCCATCTTCCAATCTCTTTCCATTCAGAACCACAATCTGGGTCTCTGGGATTATAACTATACCATCTTTTCCACCTGAATCATTGATCTGGACCTCCACACCTGGAGCAAGTGCCCCTGTTGCTCATTACTTGATTCCACCAGAAACAAGGACAACTCTTCATCACTGGACTTTACCACCTTCAGGGTAGGGTAGATGGTCATCTTGTCGTACCATGAAATGTTTTTTTTTTTTTTTTTTTTTGCTTGATGAGTAAGTTTATTGGTCTTTATCTGAAAAATCTTCATAGAAATTTGGTTTCACTCTCAGCAGCCCACTCTTGAGCTCTGAGCAATCTTGCCTTCTTTTAAGCTACCCGACCTTTTTTCTGGGCAAGGGACATTTTGGGATAGTTCCACCTCTTCTTTTTAATTTCTCTCTTCGGCTTCTTTTCATAGACTGGATTCTCTTGTATAGCAGCATGAGCTTTCTTATACATCTCCTCCATTATGTCTGGAGTTACATTGTTCTTTAATTCCTGAGAGAACTGTTTCTTGTAAGCATCTTCATTTTCTTCCATTAGGTAATCCACATAATCTGCAACATTCTGACCCATGATGTGCTTCCGATGTACTTCTGCATTGAACTCCTTGCTTTCAGAATCATCACCAGGGAATCATTGGGTACTGTGAGGGACAGACAAGCCTCCATCCACAGCATGCTTTAGGGCTCCAAAAATTTTACTGCCAGTTGTAGTTCTGGCGAGGCCTGCCTACAAATAGCAGGTGAAGGCACCAGGTTTGCCATCAATGTTTTCCACATTGTATTCATCTCTAGTCACCTCCACCTGGCCTTCATAGAGCTTATCCATGCCAAACCTATTAAGAAGCCTGTGGGCCAGCCGTAGGCCAGTTCAATATGCTGCAGCATAATTTGTTAGGCCAACTTTCACAACATATTTTGGTAGTTCATGTGCATATGCTTCACAGACTACCATATCTCCTTCAATACAGGTATAAGCAATCTGAGAAATGATAGCTCTGTTAGTTACATGAGCTATCATGCTATATTTAGGTGTGTTTACTTATTTTTGTCCTGTATTACCAAGTATTTCCTAGCATAATAATCAGTTTTGGCCTGTCGTCATCTTCTAAACCTCGCATGGTATCTCTTAAAGTAGGCCTTATTCTTGACAATCTTAAAAATACCCATCTTCGGACGCAGATGTAATATAGTCCCACATCTGAGGCCCTACCAAATGATAGTCTTAACTGTGAGTTTAGGGTCTTGGAGCACAACCAAAAGACCTAGCCATGCACAGGAACCTTGATCCTACACTTGCTGTGTTCATTGGCATTCACTCTGTTATCTAGACTGGCTTCAAAGGTCATTAATGCCAATTCCTTAGAATAGAAAAAGCCAAGAGACAGTGATTTAGACTGTTTGCCACCTTTTATACTCAGTTTCTGTAACCTTCCATTGCATTCCAGCTCCTTTTCAATACTCTGTGTCCTTCCTCTCTAGAAATCTTTTTTAAAAATTCCGGCTCATATTACAAGCAAGAATATTACCCCCATTTCTTTTGAACCATATCTCTTATGCATGTCAAAATCTTATTAATGATTTCCCACTTCATTTCCCTGCCTCTACTATCCAGATAAAGTTTGTTAAATGTCAAAAGTAAAGTCAACAACAAGCCTCAAAAGATATACAGCAAAGCTGGTGGAGTACACAGCATGTTTCTGAGATGTGTTGGGCACTGGTTACCACAGGAGTACTCTGTTAGGGCCAGAGCAACTTTACCACTTTTATTCCCCCATGTTTTTCTGACTGGCTATCCTTTTCATGTCTCAATGGATCTTGTCTTGCTTTGTTTTGTATTTTGTGAGTCTTGGTTTTTTGCTTTTTGATACTGGGAATCACACAACCCCGGGCTTGCCAGGTCGGTGCTGTGCCACTGAGCTACATCCCTGGCCTACTTGGGTTTGATTTTTCTTTTCTTTTCCTTTTTTTCTCACTTTTTCCTTTTTCTTCTCTTTTTTTTTCCTTTTCCTTTCTTTTTCTCTTTCTTATTTCCACTCATTGTTTACATTTTTTTATTTTTCTTTGTACTTTCTTCTAATGATCCTCTTTCCCTCTTTCCTCAACTATTTCTTGAATTTATTCTTTCTTTCTTTCTTTCTTTCTTTCTTTCTTTCTTTCTTTCTTTCGTGTGTGGCCAGCTCAGCCCACCAGGGGGTGGGCAGGCTGGCAAATGGTGCTGGGGGATTGAACCGAGGTCCCTGTGCTTTGCTTGGCTTAGCTTGTTCTAAGTAGGTGCTTTAGACCACTGAACCATCTCACCAGCCCCTTGAATTTATACTTTCAAGTGAGTAAATATTGTGTCTTCCCATCTGATCTACTTCAACACTCTTTTGTTTTCTCTTTCAATCTTTCCCTCCTGTGTCCTCCAGCCTCTCAAATCTAAGGTGATCATACTTTGACCTCCAACCTTGATTCTACTATATTTGACCTCTTTAATCACTTTGTTCCTATCCATCCTAAACTGTTCCCCCACAACAAAGTATGATCACTCCAAAGGGGAAAATCACTGCATATATGTACATGGTATGTGTTGGATTTTGTTATATAACCTTAGAATTTGCTCCTGTGGTTAAAAGTTATCACTTTTTTTTTTTTGGGGGGGGGACCAGGTATTGAACTCAGACCCTTGTGCTTGCCAGGGAAGTGTTTACTCCACTGAGCCATCTCCCCGGCCCAGTTATCACATTTTTTAAGTGGCTAAACTGTACTTGAAACTACTGTAATTGCTAACTGTACTACTTTAGCAAGGCTGTTATACATGTTATAGTCAGTTTTTCTCTCTGTATGATAATGCTGTTATCGTATGGGGTCAAAGTCTTCATCATAGTCCAGTGCAAAATTGCTGGGTGCTGATCCAAACAGCAACTTTTCATCCTTAACAAACTGGGAAGGTAGGTTCTTGGGATAGTCATAAGAAATCACCTATGCTTAGAAGACTCTATTTTTTTTTTTTAATGGCATCACTTTATTCAGGAGCTAATCAAACACAGGGCTGACATAAACAGTGACATATAAAGTCACATAAATCTGTTTTCCAGAATAGACTGTCATGGTAAATGAGGAAACCAGGTGCGTACACACCTGCAGCATTTTAAGCACATGTCCCGACTTGCCCAGGTGGAAGCGGCCCGTGAAGCAGGAAGAGGGAAGCGGCAGCTGTGCAGAATCCCTGCTTCACGGCTCTGCCCACACTCAGCAGTAGGCCTTGCTGAACTCCTGCAGGGCCCAGCGCCGGTTCTCGGCTGCCTGCTTGAGCTGGGTGTACTCCTTCACCAGCCTGTCGAACTCCTCCCCGAGAACCTCATAGGTGCTCAGCACCTGTCGTGACTTTTGCATGTCCTGCTCTTGGACGTGAATGCCTGCCTCTAAGCAGTCCCTAATAACACGGTGAACCTCCACTTTCTCAGCAGTGTGTCAGACACAATCTTCAGTTCCTCCATCCTGGGAGTAGGTGGCACTCTTCTTCTCCAGCAGCACCAGCTGCTCCTTCTGCTGGCTCTGTGCATCCTGGCACTGCTGCTTCTCAGCCACCATGACCTCTGCCAGTTTCCACACCTTTGCAGCCTTCAGGGTTTCACTGTCAGCATCTGAACTGGGGTCACGGTAGCAAAGCAGAGCAAAACACTTCCTCTTGAGCTGCTCCTCCACTTCCAGCTGGAGCCGTGCTCGCATCCACACAAAGTCCTCTGAGGGTGGCATGAGTTCCAGAAGGTCCGCCTTCTCCAGCCCTCGCAGTAGAGGCGTCCCCATCTCCTGGCCAGGGCTTAAGATCTGTGTCAGTTCAGTCACAAGTAGCCGATGTTCAAGGGTCTCAAGGAACTTTTTGTCCTCAGAAGTTAAATTTGTGTCTTGCTTCTTCACATAGTAATCCACAAGCAGCTCTTGAATGACTCGCTGTAAAATCTCAAACCTCAACCATGCTGTCTTATGCAGTCGAACTTCCTTCCATGCCTCGGCCTGCTCCTTGCCCAGGGAGAGGCTCAAGCCACTCTCGTCCACATGCTGTGAGAGACTCAGCAGCAGCTGGCTGAAGTGTGGGTTCTGCAGCAGGTCATCTTCACTTAGGTTACAAGGAGGAAACTGTCTGCTGCACACTTGTTGAACTATTTCCATCCCTTCTCCAGGGAGGCAGAAATCTCCAGATGCCATTTGATTTTCTTAGGCTGGGATTCTTATCTGTGCAATACCAAAATATTCTGCATTCCAAGTATATAAATATTTCCTTTGGAGCTGTCCAGAAAAAAAGCCTTTTTCTGAGGTGACTGTGAACTATTGCTAGAACATGCAGTGCCAGGTACAGAATGACGTCAACACTGCGCACCCCGGGGTGGCGCTAAGCGGGCCGGGCTGGCGGAACCTGCTCTTCGGCAGCCCGCGGGCGTCCGGAGAAGACTATTTTGTAGGAAAGCCTCAATATCAGGGATAAAATTGTCTACCATAACAAATTGGTAAGCATCACACAGAAAACAAAATAAATTAAAAGAGAAAATAGGAAATAACACAGAGAAGCAAAATACAACCCCAGCCCTCCAGCACACCCAACTCAAGCCTGCAGCACAAGATAGAGGAAACTGGTAGGTGGTGGGGAGCAGCTGAGGCTGGAGGTACATGATATGGTCAGAGCAAGGTCAGCTTCAGACACAAAGAGTGCCTGAGACAAGTCACACGAATGAGCTGCTCTAGTCAAGAACACTGGGCACTAAGGCAACAACATGGATGAGCTATTGGAGGAAGGGTTCCATATTCACATTCACTCATCCAACCTCCCAAGTGTATAAATAAACATACTGTAGCCAGTGAGGCCCTCCCTCCTTTCCCCTTACTTCTCCCATAAGGAAAGACAGGGCTCAGTGTAGCCTCAGTTCTGCATTTGGACTCTTGTTATTTTCCTCCAGCCTCTCACCATCCTCACCCTGGGAACTTCCAGAGCTGCCTGGGATGTGGTAATTAGTCCCTGAACATAGACTTAGGGAATAATGAAATGCATTGGATAGCAATTGGATAGCAGGTAAGAGGAGAGCTGTGGGTGCACAAAATAAAATAAAATAAAATAAAATAAAATAAAATAAAATAAAAGGCTGTAGAGAAGCCAAAGAGAAAACCAGGCTCACTGGAGCCAACAGGAAATGCAGGCTTAAAAGAAATAAAAGGGAGAGGTGTATTAATTTTATCAGGTGTTAAACCTGAGGCAAGTAGGTTCTAAAGAACAACAGATGTATATACAAATCTTCATTCTATTATGGATTCCCATATTATATTTTTTGTGGACCTGGATCAGGGAGTGTCTCAATGGCTCTGTGCCTGTTGAGATGACCACAAATGATTTGGCTTGGAGCACTATTTCAGAATTAAGTCTAGCAGAAAAAGAGTGGTGAAGGTACAACTCCTCTGATAGAGTTTAAACCCTCTAGCTTTGCTCCGTCAGATAAGGAAGAGGGACAAAAGAGGAATAGTTAAAGCATATGTAAATCTGAGGGATTATTCATTGTGGAAAGGAAATTTTTTGGATTTGTGCTCAGATCAGCCTGCCAGTGCAGCTGGCACAACATACACTACAGAAAGGAGAGGCAAGGTCCACGTGGAGAGAAGGCCTCATGCTCTGGCCCCAGGTAGACTCAGCCAGGATGTCCTAGCTGCCTCTGCATCTTCCCACCTGCCAGCCAGCCCCATGGCCTCTTGTACCCTGTGCTCAGCTTGGAGCTGTGGGAGTTAAAACAAATTAGAGGGAAAATCCAGGAGAAAAAATTCCAGCCATGGCTACAGAAACAACTGTGGCATCCTGTGAGGAGGGGGCAACTGGTAAAGCCAACTTGAAGATGAAGCCCATCCCTGTCAGTGAGGTGGGTACTAACCCCCCCAGTCACCACCATCAAAGCATTGTGCCAGATGGCAGGGTGAGGGGCAACAGTCAACCCCTCAGCCTGAGGAGCCACCACTGTGGCCAAGGGAGCTCAGCTCCAGCCACAACATGATGAGAGAGAAGCTGCAGCCAGAGGCAGAAGCAGCAAATGGGAAGCCCGAGTGCCCAAATACAGAATATAGGGTTTTCTTTTGCACAAAAGATTGAATTGCAGACTTTTATATGAGCCTTACAAGATCATTTATCCACTGCAATTAACATTTTTTCAGATAGTATTTATGTTTGCAGTATGATTCACACTAACCAGGAAGATCTTTTTCATTTATTTCACACTCTCCAATTTGCCATTTGGTCATGCCATGTCCCCTGTTTTATTGGTCATTTGTGTTCCCATTTTGCCAGGGCCTCTCACTAAGAGAAATGCTACTATAGACAGATTGCTGGGTACTATCACTGTTGCTCCCTCAAATACCACTCAGCAGGCATCTGCCTCCCCGACCACCTTCCATCATAATGCTTCAGCATTGCACAAACCATTCTGACCTTGAGAACAAGCTCAACAAATCATTAAACAATGTTCCTCATGTGCAATACATCTTCCCTCACTACCTATAGGGGTTAATCCTCAAGGGTTATATGTCAATCATCCCTGGCAAATAGATGTCACCCATATTCCTTTTTTTTATTCACTTTATTGAAAATAAGTAATTACATAGCATATTAAAAACTGTACAGGGGCTGGTGAGATGGCTTAGTGGTCTAAAGCACCTACTTAGGACGAGCTTAGCAAAGCAAAGGGACCTCGGTTCAATCCCCCAGCACCACATGCCAGCCAGCCCCGCCCCCTGGTAGGCTGAGCTGGCCACACACACACACACACACACACACACAAATAAAAATTAAAAAAAAAATTAAAAAAAATTGTACAGAAATACCGAAATGTGAAAGATATAAGATGTAGACGGAGTGAATTTTAGAGAAGTATTTCTGAAATGAATACATAGCATGAGAGTGATAATGGATTGCACATTGTAAATAATTTACAAACTTAAATGAATATAACAATAAAAACTGTTCAAAATAAAAATGAAGAAGAATGTACAGATCAGTCATATAATAGCTCACTCTGTGCCAAAATCAAGAAACTTATATTCATATAATTAAAATTCTCAAGTAGAAAGGGGTAGGCAATAAATATTTAAAGATTTAAAATTTCTGAATTTAGTTGAACTTATAACACCACACTTCCAAGAAAAATGAACCTTTTGCACAAGAAATTTGAATAAAATAATACCAAGATACACAAAAATGAAATTGTCCAAAACTTATTGTAAAGAAAAAAATCATTGAAGCATATACATAAAAAAATATTAGCTATAGAAGGACAAAATTAAATTTTATTTGTGTGTGTGTGTGTGTGTGTGTGTGTGTGTGTGTGGCCAGCTCAGCCCACCAGGGGGCGGGGCTGGCTGGCATGTGGTGCTAGGGGATTGAACCGCGGTCCCTGTGCTTTGCTAAGCTTGTTCTAAGTAGGTGATTTAGACCACTGAGCCATCTCACCAGCCCCTGGAAGGACAAAATTAAATAGCAATTTTTTCCCCCCCACAGAACCAGGGATTGAGCTCAGGCCCTTGCGCTTGCCAGGGAAGTGCTTATTCCACTGAGCCTTCTCCCTGGCCCTAATAGCATCTTATTCTACATTAGAAAGAAAAAAAGGGGGGCGGAGGAGATGGCTCCGTAAAATAAGCGCTTGCCTTGCAAACACAAGGATCTCAGTTCAATCCCCGGTTCTACAAAAAAAAAAAAAAAAAAAAAGAAAAAAGAAAAAAATGTTTCTATTCCACAAAAAAAAAAAAAGATCAAGTGTGTAAGAAACTAGAATAATTAATTTAAAGGACTGGAAGAAAAAAAAATCTGCCCTCTTTGAATTTTATACTTAGCAAATATACCTCTGAAAACTAAAAGTAAAATATTTTCCAGATATACAAACTGGAAATATTTTAAATTTTTTTAATTGTTTTTTATTTGTGTGTGTGTGTGTGTGTGTGTGTGTGTGTGTGTGTTTTGTGTGTGGCCAGCTCAGCCCACCAGGGGGTGGGGCTGGCTGGCATGTGGTGCTGGGGGATTGAACCATGGTCT